CTCTCTCTCTCTCTCTCTCTCTCTCTCTCTCTCTCTCTCTCTCTCTCAGGCTTACTTTGAGAACGACGTCTGGGTCAGGTACTTCCTGCACACCGGCCATTTGACCATTGCGGGCTGCAAGATGTCCAAGTCTCTGAAGAACTTCATCACCATTAAGGACGCATTGGCCAAGAACACAGGTGAGTCTGCCGCTGGCTCCAATTTAGAGGCCCCAGCTCGGCTCCAACTGCTTTATTTAGCCCCTGTAACAGAACAGAACATAACAGAAAGAGGACAGCACATAAATAACACCAATAACGGGGGCAGAAATGAACAGTAGAAATCTTCCTTTTTGAGAGATTTTTTTTTATTTCCCTTGAGCATCAAAGAGCTTAGGCATTAATGCATCTTGCCCTTGAGGAGGGTTTCCGGCTGCTTGACCGCAGCTGTTTGCTCCTCTGCAGCCCGGCAGCTCCGCCTGGCCTTCCTGATGCACTCCTGGAAAGACACCCTGGACTACTCCTCCAACACCATGGAGTCGGCCGTCCAGTACGAGAAGTTCCTGAATGTGGGTGGAAACAGGCCAACAGCCGCCCAGATCCTGGATCCCCATATCCTGGATCTGTGGATCCTGTCAGATTCTGGATCCCCAGATCCTGGATCCCCGGATCCTGGATCTCCGGATCCTGCCAGATTCTAGATCCCTGGATCCTGGATCCACATATCCTTGATCCCTGGATCCTGGCAGATCCTGGATCCCCAGATCCAAGCCGTTCCTGGATCCCCTGATCCTGCTGACCCGCCTCTGCTTCTATGCCCCTCAGGAGTTTTTCCTCAATGTGAAAGACGTCCTGCGAGCTCCCACCGACATCACCGGCCGCTTTGAGAAGTGGGAGGCGGAGGAGGCGGAGCTTAACAGCAGGTGGGCCGTTCAGCCGTTTCAGATGCAAAAATGCATCACAAATACAAGAAAAAACACACAGGTCAATCATGTTGATTTAAAATCCAAAGACAAACAGAAAAAAAAGGGATGTAAACCATGTTGATTTTAAGTTATTTTATCAGTTTAAGAATGGTTTTAGACTGGTTTGGAACTTGGTGTTAGACTAGTTTTAGACTGGCTTTAAATTGGTTTTAAACTGGTTTTAGACTGACTTTAGACTGGCTTTAGACTGGTTTTAGACTTCTGTTGACAGGTTTTGGACTTGTTTTGACTGGTTTGGGCCTTTTTTTAACAGGCTTTAGACTGGTTTTGACTGGCTTTATTTGGGTTTTAGACTGGTTTTGACTGGTTTTAGACTGGTTTTAGACTGGTTTTAGACTGGTTTTGACTGGTTTTAGACTGGTTTTAGACTGGTTTTGACTGTTCTGGTCCGGTACTGCTCCCCCTCATCAGACCTCTGACACGCTGTCTGTTTTTGCTGCTCAGCTTCTTCGAGCGGAAGGCGGCCGTGCACGCGGCGCTGTGTGACAACGTGGACACGCGCAGCGCCATGGAGGAGCTGAGGCTGCTGGTCAGCCAGACCAACGGCTACATGGCCGGCAGGAAGGCCAGCAGGCTGCGGCCCAACCGGCTGCTGGTGGAGGCCGTGGCCGCCTACATCACCGGCATGCTGAAGGTAAACTACAGAGAGGGTTCAGACCAGGGCCAATGGGAGCAGGGCATGCTGCCCCATGTGACCTTAAAGGAGAGGATACTGATACATCCATATAAATGAGGAGGATTATCTGTGTGGGGAATTCCTTAGAAAATCACTGAAAAATCAGCTTTGTAGGTAATTAGATTAAGGAAAACCACTGAAAAATCTTCTTTTTTAGGTCTTTAGTGAATGAAAGTAATTGAAAATGAGCTTTTTAGGTATTTAGATTAAAGAAACTCATTTAAAAAAAAAAAAAGCTTTTTAAGTCTTAAGATGGAGGAAAATCCCAGAAAAATGAGCTTTTTAGATCTTTAATTAAAGGAAAATTACTGAAAAATGTGCTTTTTAGGTGTTTAGATGAAGGAAAATAATCTAAAAACCTGTTTTTTAGGTGTTTAGAAGAAGGGAAATCCTTGTTGTTTTAAAAGAGCTCAGAAATCTGACCTTTTCCACATGGAGCCACAATGTGTCAGAGCTTCAGCTGCACAGAAACCTCTGTAACTCTGCTTTGTTTTCTCACCTTTATTCAAACCTTGGTGTCTGTGTTTTTTTCCCTCTCACATTCAGATATTCGGCGCTATCGAGGGATCGGAGCCCATCGGCTTCCCGATCGGAGCTCAGGGTCAGAGCGTGGACGTGAGTCAGCCGGTTTTCCCTGTTTTCGGTTTCTTTGTCACACGATGAGAAGGCTAATTCAGCCGTTTGCCCCCAAACCTGCAGCTGGAGTGCACCGTGATGCCGTACCTCTCCGTGCTGTCGGACTTCAGGGAGAAGGTGCGGAAAATCGCCCGGGAGCAGAAAGGTGAGGCTGGACGCCCCCCGGGGTTAAACCAGGCAGCTGTGATGATTCGGGTTGAAATAAAGCTGTTTGCTTTGACTCAGTGATGGAGCTGCTGCAGCTCTGCGACGCCATCAGGGACGACACGCTGCCAGAGCTGGGAGTCAGACTGGAGGACCATGAAGGTACCACGGCCCACATCTGAAACCAATTAGATATATTATCATTATAAAAAATCTAATTTACATAGAGTTTAATGTTTAAATATAGATTTTAAAATGATGATATATAGAATTATGCAATTTAAATAGTTAAGTTATAAAATGTCTTCATAATTTTATATTATTCATGAAATTATATAATTTATAATGTTTAATTAAATGGTTCAAAATATAATCTTTTTTTTAAAAGTATATATATATATGTGTGTGTGTTTGGGTGTGTGTGTGTGTAAATATATCTATATCCAATTATATATCCAAATGAACAATATTAATGAAAATATAATATAATATAAATTTTATAATTATAATAAAATTATATTTTATATCCTATCTTAAACGACATATATCCAAATGATTAATATTAATAAAAGTATAATACTATTATAACATAAAATTAATTTATAGTATTTAAATATAAAACTTTTTTTTTTATTATTATTTATATATACTGTATATATATGTAATTATATAATTTAAATGTTTAAATAAAATAATGTATAAGAATTTCATATATATGAAATTATATTTATAAAATTATATATGAAAATGATGAATATTAATAAAATATATAAATAATTGATTAGGATGAAGTGACTTGATCGATCTTGGTGAAAAATGCTCAATAAGATGGTGAACCGGCTGAATGTGTTCCAGGACTGCCTACTGTGGTGAAGCTGGTGGACAAGGAGACCTTACTGAAGGAGAGAGAGGACAAGAAGAGGGTAAGAGGGCAATTAAATGAGCTTTAAGCCGCAGACCTCCTCAGGTTTGACCTCATTGGATGTTCACAGGAGGCTTTTCCAACACTGAACAGAACCAGAGAACCTGGAATATACATCATGACAAAAAACATACAAACAACTGATCATTAGGTCCAGAAAGAGCTTTAAAAACGGACTGCAGACTAACAGGAGGTTAAATCAGAGAAATAAAAGCAGGAAAAGTCCCAAAAGGGCTTTTTAGGATCGAATAGGTAAAAAAAAAAAGCCATCAGGTCCAGAAAAAGGCCTTTTAGGGTCCATCAGGTCCCGAAAAAGGCTTGGAGACCCAGTTCCTGCATCAGAACCGAGACCCGAACCAGAAACCAGTTCTGAGCGGCTCTCAGAGGACAGAAACTCAGAGGACTTAGATCTAGGCTCCGGGAGTCCAGGTTCCAGCTGGAACTGGGCCTGCTCTAATATATAAAGTATAGATATTTAATATAGAAAAATCTGAGAGAAAATCTGGTAAATACAGGATCAGGATTAACAATTTAGAAAATCAAACTGAAAAGGTTAAACTAGCTTTTAAAGACACATGTGCATAATTATAGCTGGAAATCAGAGTAGAAATAAAAAAAATTGTTAATATAAACATTTATTGATTGATCTGTTAAATATTTATTTTATTTATTTATTTGTTTATTTATTATACTTATTTAATACAAAGAAATTAAAGTTTATATAAATTTTTATTTATTTATTGATTGGTTTATTAAATATTGGTTTATTTATTATATATATTCATTTATATCCACACAAAAAGCTTTTTCTGGACCACTGGCGTTAAAGCTTTTATATGTTTTGCTGCACAGTCTTAAGAATTTTTTTGTGAGCCAACAAACGATTGTATAAACAGATAAACAGACATTTTAATCTATAAATCCAGCGCTAATTTAAAAATAGAGCTGGTTCTGGTTCTGGTTTCTGGCGCCAACTCTCGTCTGTCCGGGCTGAAATCTGCTGAAAACTTCTGGACTGTGTTTCTCCGACAGATAGAAGAGGAGAAGAAAAAGAAGAAGGAGGAGGCGGCTCAGAGGAAACAGGAGCAGGAGGTGAGTCCCGGCTTCCTGTGCTGGCCCAGAAAAGCCCCCCCCCCCTCACAGCTGCTCTGCCTCTCTGCAGATGGCCAAACTCGCCAAGATGAAGGTCCCCCCGTCGGAGATGTTCCGCTCGGAAACCGACAAGTTTTCCAAGTTTGATGAGACGGTAAATCTTTCCTTCGTTTTAAAACACCATGTTGATCTTTGAAGGTGTTAACAACCACTTTTAAAAGGAGAGGTTACTGTGTGTGATCCATTTAAATGGGGGAGGAACATCTGTGTGGGGAATTCTGTATTCTTTGTTTGTCTTTAAATGAAGGAAAATAATGGAAAAATCTGCTTTTAGGTCTTTAAATGAAGGAAAATCATTGAAAATCAGCTTTTTAGGTCTTTAGATGAAGGAAAATAATAGAAAATCTACTTTTTTTCTGTGTTTAGATCAAGGAAAATCATTGAAAATCACCTTTTTAGGTCTTTAAATTAAGGACAATCAGCTTTTTTAAGTCTTCACAGTAAGGAAAATCTTTGTTGTGTTCAAAGAGCTCAGAATTTTGAGCTTTTCCATACTGCCAGAGTATGGAAAAGCTGGGCGGCTTAGGGCCTCTCAGGTAGGGCATCTATTGACCTTTCCCCCGTGTCTGACCAGGGCTTCCCCACTCACGACGCCGAAGGGAAGGAGCTCAGCAAGGGGCAGACCAAGAAGCTGCGGAAGCTGTTTGAGGCCCAGGAAAAGCTGCACAGCGAGTTCCTCCAGAAGAACCCCAACGGCATCTGAGCCACCCCCCCAGCTGACCCCCCCCCCAGCCTCCTCCTCTGCAGGCCACCAGGGACATGGGATGCTTTAGATTTGTCAGTGATTTCCAGTTAGAGGGCCAAAGCTGAGCCATTTTTCAGAGTGGGGGGGGGGTTCTGGGTCTTCCCTCTGCTCCTTGGGCCTGGGCTCGGTTTCCCCTCCTTTTGAAAAATGATTCAGTTCCGTTGGCTCTATAGTAAAACTCCTGGGTCTGGTTTTAGATTGAATTAATTACTTCTGCGCCCGATCGGGGCCGCTCATCGTCGTTGTCCTGCTACACAGTCACTTGATATTCCAGTGTGAACGGTTTTCTGAAGGACCCCTTCAGCTCAGATCATCCAGACCTGCTTCTCCTCACTGGCAAATGCACAGTGGAGCTCCAGAAGCAGCTCCCAGCCGCACAGCCAGGACTCTGCCGGCCAGGTTTTCCTTCCCCAGAGACTCCTTCAGCCGAGTATTACAGCTAAGGCGTGTCCTGATAAATGTGGCGCCATCTGTATCCATTCCACACCCCAGTAGAGTCGGTTTGTGTTTTCAAAAATAACCCCAGAGAGCCAGCCAAATGTCTCTTAGCTCCGAGCCTCCATCAGATCCTCTCTCATACAAGTAAAAGTGAGTTAATTTGGTGTTTCAGCGACAGAGGAGGATTTGTCTGAATCTGCCTCATGGACTCTCCACAAACGGGTGCCTGTGATCATCAGCCGTCCTTCCTGGTTTTGTATTTTTGTACCGTTTCGATGCTTCGGGGTCCGAAGACGCTCGGACAAAGAGGAAATGCCACCTGGGACCCGTCTCCATGGCCCCTGTCTGGGGAGCTGTGGAGGCCCGGCCGAGCCAAAACAACAGCAGAAATGTACAAACGTATCATGAATAAAATCCATTTGCCAAAAAAATGCACAAAAAATGCAACATAATTTCACACTTGATTCCTTTCTACCTAAAATGATGCGCTTTTATTAATAAAGCCAGCTTCTTTACTGTATCACATGCCTTAAATTCTAAGTGAATTTACCCATTTTTACATGTTTTATTTTATTTTTAAGACTTAATTTCTATACTATTTTATGTCTCCGGCATTTTTTATTTCATTTTTCTAATTTGTTTTCCATATTTTCCTTTTTCTCTTATTTCCCACTTTCCCCGTTTCTTCTTTTTCCATTCCTCTGTCTCTGTTTTGACTTTTTCCTTATGCAGAGTATTGTGAAATCAGGTGGTGTGACCTGTAAGGAGTCTCAGGGGTCAATCCAAAGAAGAATCTGTCATTTTGTGGACAAAAAACACAAAAATAAGCTGTCATGAGGAGAAAAAATGTTGAAAAAAATGTAAGAGGGAGATAAAATATTGCTTCATTAAGAATGAATACAAAAGAAAATTATCTGATTGAAGTAGAATATAATATATAAAAATAAAGACATTTCAAAATAATTTGAGTAATAAATGATCAAGATTAACAGTTAAAAATAAAACAAACAAAAAAGTCTTAGAAATAAAAAATAAATACAATTTAGAAATAAATCTGAAAAGGTTAAACAGCATTGTCATAAAGAAATAAAATAAATGGTCTTTTTAAGAAAAATATGCATCTAGTTTAAGCATTTATACGTTTTTCTGCATTCTAAGAAATTTTTCGTGAGACCAAAATATTTGTTTCCCTTTTTTGTTTCTCCACAAAAAGCAGATTAACACACATTTTAATCAATATATCCAGCCCTCATTTAAATATTGACTTTTTATTCGTAAACTAAATCTGGAAGCTTTTTAACTAATTACAACAATGATGAAAAGGTTTCAGGTTTTAAAACGTTTTATTTAATGTAATTATTACATTTTGTGTTTGATTCTTTATACAGAGTGCAGATCTGTCGCATCCAGGAGCTCTCGCGTTATTGGTTACCGTTCTGAGGTACCTGTGGTTGTCAGCCAATCAGGGCCTTCCTTACACAGCGGTGTCCAATCAGATTCGTTGGAGCGTCATTTAAAAGCTGCACGTGCATTGTTGACATGGAGAGGGAACAGGTGGTGCCGCTGGTGAACTGATTAGTCGTGCTAAGTGTTTGTTAAGCTGATGTTGAAATGTCGTCTTTGGAGGCTCGCGCTGCGGTAAGCACCTGTTTTTTTCCCGCTCTTTGTGATGCTAGCTAGCCGCGCGGGTGGATAACGCTAGCTAGCTCCGGTCAGAGGTTCCGTCGTGACCGTCGAGCTTAGCGGAAAGGTTCCGGTTTGTGTGTCCGTCTGTGCAGCTGCTGCCGCCCGCACAGATCCCTCTAATGAAGGGGAAGAGCTCCGCGGCGGGGCCGAGGAGAGCTGCTCTCGGAGAGATCACCAACTCTAACGCCGCTAACGCGAAGGTAACGGAACCCTTCTTCTGCTGCTTATTTTACTGAATAAGTTCTGAATCTCAACAAAATGCGACTTGTAATGATGTCTAAGCACCTTGTTTCCAGCCGTGTTGGATTAGTGGGCCACTTCATCTGCCTCCAGCCTGGTTCGGGTGTTCAGAAGCCTGGTTTTGGACCCACCCGGCCCCCCTGGAGGCTTGATGGAGCTCCCTGGAAGTGGCCTCCCTAACGCTCTGCTCGTCTTTCCAGAGAGCCGGACCATCGAAGTCCAAACCGGCTTGTGCCCAAAAGGTCAAACCTGTCCAGGTGGTGGTTCCGACGGTCCAGGTCGGCCCAGCAGAGCCCCCCCCCGGCGGTGCCAGAGGCCCCCCCCGCGGTGCCGGAGGAGGGGGCGCTGTGCCGGGGCTTCTCCCAGGTGCTGCTGGCGGCGCCGGACGTGGACGAGCAGGACGCTGACCAGCCGCATCTCTGCTCCCAATACGTCAAGGAGATCTACCAGTACCTGCACGTCCTGGAGGTACCCGGCTGACCCCCCCCCGACCCCCCGGCTCCGGCCGCCTCACAGGGCCTCTGTGAGGCAGGATTCACACTTGAGGGATAGCCCTCATGTTTGGGATGGTTGAATTGTTCAATTACAGCAGACTGGACTTTTATTCAGACTCTAGACTAGCTGTAGCAGGTGAAGCTGGTCTGGATCTTGGGGCTCAAAAAAGAGATACAAACGCATTTCAATTTAAAGACTTTTTGTAGATTTGGTTTTTGCTCATACTTGTATATTTAAGGCTCTGTGTCCAAAAGAAACAACAAAATAGGAGCTAATTTTGTACAGAAATGTTCTTGCAAAATATGGCTGCCGGCTCCGGCCGCCTGACCCCCCCCCCCATGTCTTCCAGGAGCAGCAGGCCGTGCGGGCCGACTACATGCGGGGCTACGAGATCACGGAGCGCATGCGGGCGCTGCTGGTGGACTGGCTGGTCCAGGTCCACTCCAGGTTCCAGCTGCTGCCCGAGACTCTGTACATGACGGTGGCCCTGCTGGACCGGTTCCTGCAGGTGAGGC